GAATACCATGAATGTTGAAGAAAGAGTAATTAAGGGGTTTAGGTCTTTTTTTGTTGAGCTGGTTTAGGTTTATATCCTTGATTGTAGTCATGATGTCTTATTTTGGTAAGGAAAGGTCTAGGGTAGCAGTAGCAGTTGGTTGTCTAATGTAACATGTGTAGGAAGGGAACTGGCACAGACTGCAACATCAGGGTTGCCAACCAGAGGTGCTTGCAGGAACACCAATATTATACAACTGTTGATCAAAGAATCTTTTAAGATGCTACTGATGCTTCAGCACAAACATGTATACATACTTGTGTGCTGGAGAGTTAAAAATAAAATAATTAAGTTTTAACTTTGTATATGTCTGAATTACCAACCCTTTCAAACTGTGTCCTCATAATCCCCAGTCAGTAACCACAGTTAAACACAGTTCTTCACAAGTTCCTGTCTCTTTGTAACTCTATGCAATGTTTGACTCTACCATCCCTCCCATTCTCTGTTCTGCTATCCTTTCACACAGACTTGTTATTTGGGTTTCTTGCTGTTTTCTTCTGCTCTCCTTGCTTTCTGTATGTCTTGTGAGTGTTAAGTTCTTCAAGCTCTCTTTCCTTATTTTTCCCTGAAATTTCAGTTTTCTCTTTCAGATTGTAAGTACAAGTGTCTGTTTAGTTTTCATTTACTTTGAAAATTTCATAGAATTCTCAGCATCCCTCTGTAGAACCACATCTCCATCACTTCAAGTCACTTTTTCATCTGTGAGGAAATTGTCCAGCATTCAGTCATATAGGAAGATTGATATTACATAGTGATTGAACACAATTCTTTATTTCTATTGAAATTTTCCAATCTCTTAATATTTTGTTTAGTTTCTGGAAAGCATCTTTTGCTATTCAAATGTATCTTTGGATTTCTGTGGCGTGTTTTCTATTGTCTGTTATGACAATGTCTAGTTAGTTAAACTTTTGCATTTGCATGATTCTAACATATCTAATATATAGCTGACACTCAGGGCTGCTATCTCTTTTGCTTATGATCATATTCTGCCTTTAGTCCTCTTCTCTCATTTTCCTTTACTACTTTGTCTAAGAGTTCTTTGAATTTTCTTTCTGAGTCTGCATGTCTTAGGTCTTGATAGGTTTTACTAACAAACATTTATTCTATCTTCTTATAGTTGATAGTCATTTCTTTTACTACATTGTCAAAGAGTTCTTTGAATTTTCCTTCTGAATATGCCTTCAACACAATGTCATCTGCATGTTGCTAAGATTATATCTGCCAATGATAACTCCTGGTAGGTTCTAGTTAAACCAATTACAAAAAATCATAATTACAATATTTGAATTTCTCTTCAATGACAAAAGCATGAATGCGAAAGATTTGTCTATTTTTGGTGCATATTTGATATTTTCCATGTTTGCCATTCTTTTTTCTTTTTTTGGAAATTTGTCTAACAAAGGAATTGTAATACATGGATTATTATCTTATCCTTTGTTGTTTTAGATATGGTATTTTGCAGTTGGTATGAATTATACATAACATGATTAGAGACTACAAAAATAAATTGTGACTAATTTTTTTTAAAAGAAAAAAATCTGAAATTTAACTACATTACAGAATTTTCATTTTGGCAGATGAAAGTTTCTCAACTTTTTAATTGATTGAATGGCTTCTCCTTAGCCTTTGCTTGATCTCGCACAATACCACAAGAGTGGAGCATCCAATGAAATTGGGCCAAATGAGAGTCAGGTACATGTAAACAAATGACATGAAAGTTGGAGAATAATCCGCCCAAAATATGTCACTCAGACATAGGGATAGAGATATAAAGCAATTGTTAAGTTCATTTCAAAATGCAGTTATATGATGGTTAGCACTTTGGATATAGTTTGAAAAATGCCACATTATACTGTGTCATTATAACGTAGCATACATAGAAATATGAACTTAATAAGCTGTTCATGATAGTAATAGAGATTGCTAAATGACTGATGGGTAAAAAAAAACTTTTGGGCAGTGAGCTTTTGGAGAGACAGCAAATTTTGCCAGGAATTTGAGTGTATAATGGGTGTCTGTAAATCATAGTTTCTTAAATGTTGGCATTAGTGCAATCCCACTGAAAATATTATACCAGCAATCATTTTAAAATATTTGGGTGTATGTGGGGGTCTGCATGAGTGTGAATCATAGTTTCTTATATGTTAACATTAGTGCTATCCCACTGAAAATATTATGCTAGCAGCCATTTTAAAATCTTTGGGTGTATGTTTTAAGCATATTGATGTGGAAGTAATTGGTGTTCAAGCCCAGCCAGTATTTCAGATGCCAATTTTCAAGGCAGACCGGCTGGCCTTCACCTCTTGATGAAAAAAAAAATCTTTCTATTCTCATGCTCCTGTCCTTAATTTGAGTAAATACAGTGCTGGTCAAAATCTTCAGGAAAATGAAAATTAAGAAAAAATATATCTTTTGCATTAGTAGACTCAACCACTTATGTAAGCAGATCTTTGAAAAATGAAAATAAGTAAAAAGAAAACAAAAATTAAAAACTTTTTTAGCATTTAACAGAGAAAATTTGAATACTGGGAAATTAGGTCAAATAATAGTTGGTCAAAAGTTTAAGAGCATACCTAAACAGAGTAAGAAATGTTCAACAAGATGTCTTAGCAGTGAGTTCCATGGCTGTCATTGTGAATAACTTCAAAAATTCACTTTGGTTAGGGTTAATATAAGTGTCTGCAGAAGGCTGGCTGGAATGCTATTTCAAATGATGAAGATGGTTTCAAGAAATTCAAGCGCTGTTTGGAATTAGTGTCCATTTCTAGAGATTTCCCTTGCTGTCCACCCTCAAACATTTTCAGTGAGTTTCAGTTCGAGCAAACACACTGGATAGTCCAAAAGAATCATGTTATTCACCATGAAAAAGTCCTTTTTCCTGTAGGCATTATGGATTGCAGCATTGTCCTGTTGAAAGATCCGGTCATTTCCACACAATTGAGGGCCTTCAGTCAATAAGGATGCTCTCTTCAACATGCTAAATGTAACCAGCTGCAGTTTGAGACTCCTGTATAATCTAAAGTTCCATTGTTCCTTGGAAGAAAGCACTCCAGATCATGATGGCACCTCATCCACTGTGTCATGTAGAAAATGTCTCCAGTGGGGTATCCTTATGCCAGTAGTGTTGGAAGTCATCTGGACCATTTAGGTTAAATTCTCATCAGAGAACACAAACTTCTTCCACTTTTCTATGCCCTATGTTTAGTGCTTCTCAGCAAAGTTTAGCCAAGTTGTTTTGTGGTGTGGAAAGAGGCATGGACTTTGAAGACATTTATGGTTTCTAAAGCTTTTCTCTCAGAAATATCGTCTTATTGTTCTTGAGTTGCATTCTATATCTGTAAGGACCTTAATCTGGTCCAATAATCCTCTAGTGTCTTGCTGGACAACCTGCTGAATCCTTCTGCTCAGCACCAACAAAATTTTCTTAGACCGACCACATGAAATTCTTGTTCCATGTTCCTCAGTTTTACTATGTTAAATCTCGCCAGTGCTGGTATGTTCAGAGAGCCCTTGCTTTTACAGCTCAACAATTCTGACGTGTACAAACTGTCAACGTTTTAGCCCTTGCAGGAAATACCAGTGGGAGATGACTGAATGCAAATGACTAAATTTCATCATGTGTTTACCAATGTAAATACAGTCTTAAACCTTTGACCAGCTAGTATTTAGCTTAATTTCCTAGTATTCAAATCTTCCTTATTAAATGATAAAAAAGTTTTTAATATTTTTTTCCTTTTCTTATTTTCATTTTTCGAAGTTCTGGTCAGATAAGTGGTTGAGTCTAACAACAAAAGTTATATTTTTTTTTTTTATTTTCATTGACCTTAAGATTTTGGCCTGCAGTATATTTGTACCTGACTGTTTTTGTCATGGAGTAATGATTAGCTTATTATGATCACAGCTTATTACTAATGATTAGTGAGCTTGATCCTCACTGGGTGCCCTCATGATTGTGGTTATGTGCTAAGCTCAGTCAATAACTATGCAGGCACATTTTTTTTAATATTAAGAGTATATGGCAAGGGGGATTACTCTTGTCCTCAAAAAGTAACAAAATTGGGGAACATTTTTTCCCCAGTGTTTGAAGATGTTTATTTTCCTGTTTTAATTTAATTTTTTTTTTTGAATTATTTGATTGTAATTTTATAATGTCTTTTTTTTTTTTTTAAAGTAAATAATCGTTAAAAATAAATAATTAAAAAGAAATCACTTTGCCTTTTGGAAATATTGAATATATATTTTGATAAACAAAGGATGTTGCTGCTTTTTGTTTATAACAATTTTTGATTTGCTCATGAAAAAATAAGCTAAAAGTTTTTTTTTTGCACATCATCTTTCATTGATTATAGATGAGTAGATGCTGAAAAGATTTTGGTCCAATTCACTTCTCAAAATCTGACATCAGATAATTTTTTTTCAAATCTCTTCTTGGTTAGGCCAAGATCTCTTCAGCATCTCCTTGTATACTTATATGCAGTTATAGATAAATATATAGATAATTTATTGTTATTAATGAGTTATGTTTTATGAATTTAAAAAAAAGAAAAGTTAGTCTTTTGATTGATGTTATTTTCTTCTAGTGTTGTCTTTTAGGTGAAAGACTAGGCCCCAGGCATGGAGTGTGCAACAAGTCTCCCCAGGTGTTTAACCCACACCTGCCATAACCAACTATACAGGATTCCCCGCAAACCCTGTCTTATTTTATCAAAGGGTAAATGGGATTTTGAGCAGATTGGGTTAAGTCATCAGGTTCATCAAGGCATATTATGAAAATATTGCTAGCTTTAGTGGGACCTGTTGATACTATCCTTGCCAATGGAAAAAAAAGCTTTTTTTCCAAAGCCATAGAAACAAGCCTTGGAAAGTTAACTTTAAAGAAACATTACCAAGGCATACTTGCGTGTGTGTATGTGCGTGTGCGTGTGTGAATATATAATGAATGTGTTTTGCTGCTGTTTCAGGCGCAAGTGTCCGACTCCTGGCTGTGACGGACAGGGTCATGTGACTGGTAAATACACTGCACACCATAGACTCTCTGGGTGCCCCCTTGCAGAGAAGAATATACAGAAGATGGCCCAAGCGAAGGTGAACGAGGAGGAGGTAGTGAAGAAAGAGGAGGAGGAGGAGGAGGATGATGATGAGGTGGAGGAGGAGGAGGAGAAGGAAGATGAACGAAATAGCCCTGAAGATCCCCCGACAACAGCAAAACCCGTATCCCCTGCAGTTACTAGTCAAGGGAAAAAGAAGTATGTTGCCAAATATGTGTCCATCTATATATTTGCATACGGTCAGGCTGATAGCTTTCTTTTGGTCAATTTCCTGGCCACCATTTTTGCTGCTGTTGCCGTCGCCGTTGCTGCTTAGGTGCCTTGCTGTCTGTTGTATCGCCCTTGCCCATCATTTAGAAGTGTCTTTTATGAGCCAACTAACTTCAGTTGTGAAACATCTAGAAATTAACCAATACTATTTCATTATTATCAGCATTATTATTATGATTATTAATTATTGATATATTTGGTGTTCATTTTTCTTTGAGGTTAGTCTGCTTTGTTGAATTAAAGTGTTTGAATCAACGAAAGTCTGTTAGATTTGGAGCTTAGATCATCAATACATTTTTTAAAAAATAGTCATGCTTTTTTGTGTCAAGTTCCTGGATTTTTTTTTTTGTGCGTGTGTATAAATATTGTGTGTTTTTTGTCTTGGTCAGTATCTGTGTTTATATATATGTGTATATATATATATATATATATATATAGGCAGCATATCTTCTTTCAAACATGTTTCATTGAATAATATAAACATATTGTGTCTAGTTATTTTTATACTGTTCGTTTCCAGTTGTCTAATCAGTTTCTTGATGTTAAGATGAAATAACCATAACGCATGTTTTTTTAAATCACTATTACAACGGAATACAGAATTTATTGCAGTTATAATAAGTTTGTCTTTGTAATTTATGCCTGAAGATAATCTTAGAAAAGATCAAAAGTTAAAAAAATCTATGGTGCCTTTCTTGATGAATTTCATCTTGACAAGAAACTTATTAGACAACTGGAAAGGATCGGTATAAAAATAACTCGACACAATGTATCTATATTATTTAATGAAACATGTTTGAATGAAAATATACTGCTATATATATATATATATATATATATATATATATATATATATATATATATATATATTTTTTTTTTTTATAATACATTATTTTTTATAATAAACGTTATTTTTGATGGGTACATGTGTTTGACTTGACAACCCTGATATTTTCTCTCTCTTAAATATTGAAATTAATATCAACTGACTGAGATAGAGAAGTCCCTTCAAAGAAAATTGCCAGGAGGCACATGTTTCTTTGGTTGGAGTTCTCCATCTAAGTCATTTGATATTAATTTAAACAAAAAACATACAGTGATGTCAACTCAAACATGTCTACCCACAAAAAATAATCTTTATCGTAATCTATGTTGCTTTCTTGTTCTTGTATTTGTTTTCATTACTTTTAGTCAGTCAGTCATGGGCAGGTAGATATCAGTCTAAGTTTGTTGAGTTACTTACAAAGTTACTTTTGTGTGTGAGTGGCTATGGGAGGGGGGTACTGATCATGCAACCTAGATCGAAAAAAAATGTAATAGTAAAAAAAAAAATATCTGTCTATATTTCTGAGATGAGGTATTGTAACTATTTACACTATTTACATTGTTTGGACTGTTGTCCTCATCTTTATTGTTATATTCACGACATTTTGGCCATTCTACATGCCAGCCTTTTTCAGATGATATGCCCATAGACTAAATAAAAGGTTCAGTTTGAAATTCCAACAAATATTGCCTGAAGAAGGCCAGAGTGTATAATGACCGAAATCTCGTGGATGTGACAGTAAAGATGAAGATAACAGTTAAAACAATGTAAATAATGTAAACAGTAAAAAAATGTGTTTATTATTTTTCCTTTGTTGGATAATGGTGCCCATATATCGTTGTTGATATGTAAATGTTTCTTTTTTTTTTTATTTTTGTATATTGCATTGTGTGTATGAATATTTCAAAATACATATTGCATTGTGCGTATATGGATATTTGAAAATACATATTGACAAGCATGTAATCATATTATTAATATTTTATTAATATATATTGAGTTGTTGCAAAATTGTTGAGCATCAGTGTTTGCACTATGTAAAGGAAATTAGAGAAATTTTATTTGGCACTTTATATTTCTTGTGTAATCTGTTAATTGTTGTATGTTGTTTATAACCTTTAAAGATAAGCTCTAAAGCTCACAGAATCGATTTGGCATGATCTTCTAGAAAGAAACAATTGGATAGCATTTGTCATCATTTTTGGAGAGGATAGTCACCAGTGAAGAGAAATATTCAAATCCAAAACAAAAAAAAATATTGTTTCTAAGTTCAGGATGACCTTAAAATAATTCTTTCTATTGAAATAAAAAGGGGATATTTTTTTAGCACAAATTACTGTTACAGCAACAATGTTACAGTGAGCAATTGGCTTGTTTGAATGACACATTGGAATAGAATAGGGCACTATGTAAATAGACTGGTTCAGTTGTAAAAGTGAGGGAAAAATTTCTTTGAAAATAATTTTTGTATATTAGCATTCGTCAGACATTCCTTAGGTCACAACACTTGTCAGAAATGAAAAATATTGACTTTTTATTGATTTAGAAGGTGATACCAATACAGTATCAAATTGATCCCTGATGTTTACAGAGTTATTAGTCTTAGCTATTTTGAATATGAAATCAGACGTTTGGGGGGTTACACAAGGATTTCTTTTAAATAAAGAATAAATGAATATACACATTGTAATTAAAGAACAGAAGTTTTCGTAAACTAATAAAAGTATGTACTCATTTATTTTTCATTTAAGATAAATAATTATTAACCTCAAATGTTTGTGCATGTGATTCTGAAAAAATTCCATAAAAATGGTTTTTAAAAAAATCTTGAAGAGTTAAACAAAAAACAATAAGTTAAAAGCAAAGTAAAAAATTCATAAGATTAAAAAAAAATATGTAGGTATCAATGCTGTTGCCAGATTTTCAAACTTAATATTTCATCACTGCCAACTAAACACTCAACCACCAGCCTGCAGATTGTTTCTTCTTTTTCACAACAATCTCCAACTGAATATTTGAGTGGACATTGCATACAATTTTCAAAAAAATTTTAAATTAAAAATAAAGTTATGTTTTTAAAATGATCCTTAATAAATTACTTTTATTTGGTTTTAAAAAGTTGATGAAAAAATTTCATAGTTTGCATATTGTTAAGTCGGTGGTGTTGAATTGTCCTGCAACCAAAAAACTCTGTAAAAGTTAGGGAATTATTAGAGTTTTATTTTATTGATATTATGAAGAGGATCTACTAAAATGATAAAAACATCAATATTTTTTGATTCTGAAAAGTGTCATATTGGCCTAAGGAGGTTTAAAGGATGCTAATCTACAAAAATTATTTTGAAATAAATTTTTCCTTATTTTTTATGAGTGGACCACTATATTTAAGTAGTACTGAAAAAGATATTTTTCTAGGCAAGGAAGAATTCTTTTTTTTTTTTTTTTTTTAATTGTTGAAAATTCAGCAAACAATCATGGAACTGGGATTGGAAATTCTTCCGTATGTGGTATAGTCTTCAGGTCTGTCACTTTCAGAAAATCACTTGTTTTACATGATGAAACAATAAGTTGAAGCTGTTGAGAAACCAAGGAATCATTCTCTTATGGTAAAATTAAAAGATTTATGTCCTAGAAAGTCAGAAAAAAAAATACTTTGTTGGTTGAATGATACTATAAATTTATACAAATAAAATATTTTGTTAAAAATGCTGGAAACTTGCATTAACCTAATTCTAAAAAAATATGTTTGCATGTATATAATCACCCTCAACTCACACAAACACTTAGGCAAAAAATAAACTGAGGAATTTTTTTAAGAGTTTAAAAAAAAGGAAAAAAAGGTGGGTATTAATTTAATAGTTTGCATGTTATTGAGTCGCAGCCTTGAGTTGCCCTGCGCTCTAATAACTCTGTAAAAGTTAGCAACTGATTTTACACTATTTCTGTTATGAACAGGACCTACCTTCTAAAATGATAAAAAAATAAATATTTTTTGATTCTGAAATGGGTTGTCTTGGCCTAAGGAACTAAAAACAGAAATTCTAACCAAGAAGCTCTCTTGAAAACAACAGTTTGCTGGGAAAACATAATTGTCCTATAATGGTGTGTATCTGACATATTGTATCATCATTTTCACAATTTGTCATGTGGGATGACATGTACGAAAGAATTCTTATAAAGATTTCCAACAAATGGTTGCAACTGAAAGAATGGATCTAGCAGCTGTAGAGTTACTACAAGGAAAAATGACAGACGGCTAAAACATGCAGTTACTTCTGTACAAAAAGCAAAGTCTGTGGAAATGGAAAAGTTTAGGATTCTTAATGATGAGCTAATTTCTAGAAGTATCACATGGAGATTGGTGGAAGCTTGTTTCACCTGAAAAAAAAATGTCTTTGAAAACCTAGCTTGTCAAATAAAAACAAAATCAAACAACACTTTTGAACGAAATAGAAGAGCTATGATTCAGATTGGCTTTGAAAAGTTCCATGAAATTATGAATCCAGGTTTAATCTTGAGAGAGTGATGCCCCTGAATACTACCATTGTAGATCTGGTGAGTGGTTTAATTCTGACTGTACATCAAGAATTGTGAAGCTTATAAGAAGTAGCATTTATAGAAACTGAATTTGGTAAACTTTTGCTGTATAATCAATCTGAAAATGGTAAAAATACCAGAAAATTTCTGCAGAATCGATTGCTTCCCAGTATCCAAAACAACCAAAATATGGCTGAACAAGAAGAAAATAAAAATGTACTAACCAGGTTAAAGTCCTAATTTAGATCCTATAGGCCTGTATTCACTACAAAATGGTTGAAATGAAGTTTACAAATGCAAATCAAGTAGGAATGTCACAGCACTGACATTTCGAGTTATAGTCCAAACTAGCTTAAAAACTGCCTATTTAAGCTTAGCTCCTGTGAAGGGCTCTTGATTGAACCTTCATCACAATAGGTAGGGAGGAACAATAAACTACAGAAGAACTCAAAAGTGATCACTGCATTTAAGTATTGCATTAATATCTAAGCTTACCTTTTAAAAGTTCAACGATAATTCTTCTGCCACCACTTAATTTAAAGACAATTTGATGTACGTAGGTCCTTACTTTCCATGCAAGCAATTATTTTTATTCCATGGGTGACTTTCACTGGATTTCGTAATTAATTTCAATTATTCCCAAATTTATTTCCAACTTATAAAAATTGTTATCGTACAAAAAA